ATTTTTGAGCCTGACCTGCCATTCCGTTTGCAGTCAGGGTTTCCACCCTGAAAACCGCATACTTTCCGTAAGAAGAAAACTGCGCACTTTTATAGGCTTTCAGAAAGAATTCATATGGGGCTTATGAACATTTGTAATAGATGGAGACTATGTTGCGTACTTTAAAAGCAACATTATTAAATGGACAGATACGATGCCTTATGAATGGACATTGCACGGTCTAAAAAATCTCACAATTAGAAACCTTTTAAAAATCAAAATCCTTTTTCCTCAAGTATCATACTTAAGGAAGACGTAAGATGCTGTCAAATCAATCCAAAAAGAGTATGTTTGTGAACGTTTCCTATAAAACAAGTTTAAATTCATAAGGACATCGGAAATCAACGAGGACAAATTCATACTACTAAAATGATCATTTTTCGAAAGCGACCAAAAAGAAACTCGCTCAATATCCGGCACTGTGACGTGACGAAAATATCTCGGGATTATGCTGCATGATGATTACTGTTAAAACCCTACTTCAGCAATCCTTTAAAATCGAAAGCAGATTTTGGAATTTGGATAGCACTTCGTTTATGTGATAGCGACTTGTTAGAAACCACTGACTGTGACATAAATCAAGCCCATTTAAAAATGTTCTAGACAAAGAAAATGCGCAATGGGACAGTTTGCGAATAGTTAGAATTAATAAACGCTGTCCTCATACGACCCATAATAATTATGTATAGAGTCATGCGCATTTTACAGGAAAGCACTTCCTAATCGCGAGCATCAGTTCTTCTTGGGAGTGACCCAGCTTATGTGGTTTGTATTTTCCCTTCACTTTTGGCGCGTATACTTATGCAGCCAATAAGTAGCTTAGATTAGGCAATCGGAATGCCCTTTCTGCCAGTTACTTTTCCAACATGCATACTTAGTGTGAACGAGCGGACTTAATCAAATTTTTCAATTCCCATAATCTTTTACTTCACGCACATGTGTACGCTTGCACATAACTTGATTTTTAATCAGGTAAGATGTGGTTATTTAGCCCCATCCTGCTAGACACAATATTGTTGGGATTGGGGTTAGGGTTAGGGTCTGGGATTAGAATTAAGGGTTAGGGTCAGGTGGTAGGGCAACTATTTCTTAACTATTCAAAGTACAACCGCGCATTCCCAATAGCTTTTCTTTTGCATACAACTTCTTGGCCTCGTCGCCTGTCGTTAACTGGCCCCACCTGTAAAAACCCCTATTACCACCGGTCCCGTATTACAGGTTCCTGGGGTTTGTTTACTTCAGGCGGGGCCACGTAACCACATCTGACCTTTGCTTGCCCATAGAACATTTAAAATGCTACCAGTGCTCATTTCTAGAAAGCAATTTTCAATTCTATGTACAGTGTGTGATCGATCTCAGGAAATGTTAGCCAAAACTCTGGAATGCGTTTCCGATTAGGAAGGATTACTTAAGTGGGGTTGTTACACTGATTATCATACACCATAACCCTATAACATTACGGGCTCGACAGGATATCGGCTTTTAAATGCACGTCTTTCTGATCTCCTGTAGAGACCACACTCGGTAAAAAGTGACTACTTAATTAGCATGCATTTTTCCTATTGATTTTCGAGGGTCTTATAAATTCAAACATATTTTACAGAAAACATGCACAAAATAGGCTTTCTTTTGCAAGTTTGGTGGGAAATCACATTGTCTTACTATTTCAGGCCTGAAAAAAGTATAGATTTAGGTTTAAAAAGGTTTTTAATTATGGGATTTTTAAGACCCTGCGATGTCTATGTACGCAAGACCGCACATGTCCGTTTACTAATGCTCCTCAAAAAATATGCACGACAGCCCGGGTCCATTGCAAAAATTCATGAACTCTATGTGGTATCTTCTTAAAGACATAGAGGAATATATGATTGTCCTTACGCGGAAAGCATGCGCCTTGAAGACTGAAATTGCTAAACACTAATGCAAAGGCTGATAATGCTTGGAAGTATTCGGGATTTGGGAAACTTTTTTAAAACCTACATATACACTTTCTTTGGGCATAAAATCGGGAAAATGTGATTTTCTACCAAACGAGTATGTAAAAGCACACTTTTGTGCATGTTTTCTATAAAATAAATCCGAATATATAAGACCATCGAAAATCAGTAGGAAAAGTGCATGCTAATTAAGTAGTAATTTTTTACCGAGTGTGGTTTCTACAAGAGATCAGAAAGACCTGCATTCAAAAGCCGACATCCTGGCGAGTCCGAAATGTTAGTGGGTTATGCTGCACGATGATCAGTATAACAACCCCATTTAAGTTATCCTTCCTAATCAGAAACACATTGCATAATTTTAGCCAACATTTCATGAGATCGGTCACGCATCATAACCTATATGAGGAAACATTCGGTCACGTCTATCACATACGTGAATCGATTTTAGTCAAAAAGTTAACTTCTTAAACAGGCTTAAGAAACCAGTCTGTAAGACACGGCTTGTCTGGCAGCCTGATTGTTGTCGGCTCCAAGCGTCCGAGAAAAAGGCAATTCGCGGGAGAAGGAGCCAGTAGACATGGGGTCACAGCCACAGGTGGATGATAATAGTGAATTGCGGTTTTTTCCCAAATACAATTTTGCCCGTCAATCTCTACTTGAAAAAAACGACAAAGACCTTTTTAAGGCTGGTGACTTTTCGCGCATAACGGCTAAGGCAAAAGGATTTTCGACTCCTTCAAAAATTCAAATATACTTTGGTGAAAACATGCACGTTAATATTGTTTCCTGTAGGCGTCCTGTAGCTAATCGTGTCTTCTTCAAATTTTATACAAGAAGAAAGGAGATCTTTTGGTTTAATAAAATGTATAATTTGGAGACTTTGTCGACTGCAAAATGCCCATTCATATAACTTTCTATCTGTCTAGTTAGAAATGCTGCTTATGAAGTTTGCAACAGGGTTCGTATCCCGTGGGAAATTTTGTTAGCACTATAAGACCCCTCAAGAGCGCCGAGAAGTCTGGGGTTTCCCTTACACGGGAGGTAGGTAGTGAGCCGGTCGGAAATCCCACAATGTAGTTTAAGAGCTGGTCGGGTTAAAAATAAATTGATAATTGCAAATGGTTTTGAAGACTGAAAAATGTCATTCTTGAAGAAGTGGACACGATCGCCGGGACAAGAGCTTTATTAGCCTGACGTTTCGGATTCCTACTGAAATCCATCATCAGAGACAAAAGAGCAGAAACGGTCATTCTTTTAAGTACGACATTTGAAGAAGTAGTAATTCGCAAACTAAGAGTACGGGAAATAGCACTTTTTCACATGAATTTTATCAGCTATAGCTGAATTTCTAAATGAATTAAAAGTCAATGAAGAATGTTCCCATTACTACAGTATTTAGAGGAAGAAGATGCGACCGCTAGAACAAAAGGTTTTTTAGCCCCTCATTTCGGCTCCTTGCTCGAATACATCATCAGAGGGTCACAGAAAAGGGTGATGGAGGCACAAAAAGTGCCGTATTTATAGGCCGCAGTTGCCACCCCACCACATACCTAATACAATTAACAACTCCGGAGTTCATCACTTGGGGTCGGAATTCGATACGAGGATGGCTTGTCAGTCCGCACATAATTCGCAAAATTCCGAAATATAATCATCGTTTTGCTTTCAGTGCGTGATAATTACTCGAAAATTTGACTCACTATAGCTAGAAATGTCGCCCGCACGCTCCCTTAATGGTTAATGACTCTTCCCAGACAGTCTCAGTACAGAAAACGGAGCCAAGAGTTAGACGACTGGAGACTGGAGAACCCATACTCAAGCAGCTCGCGACTCACGCGATTGCCGCCTCCGACGAGAACCTCGGGCTTGTCAAGCTTGAGGGTGAGGCCGAATTCCCTGGTATGAGCCGCGACCTAAGAGTTAACGTTATTCTTCCTCGCTGCTGCTGCTGCTGCATGTCCGGCTATTTGCGTCCGCAGTGAACCCCCAGTTTCTCTGGAACACTTGCTTTATTCGCAACTGCACCAGACCTGACAGCAGTTGGTATTTTTAGCTGGCGACTGATCGTTTTTTTCTGATCTGTGTGCAACTCTAAATCCAAGTGGTGCAGGCAGGTGGCGGACGACTTTCGAGACGTTATCCGCGTACGGGAGCGCTTGTCAGAACTTGAGGCCAAATCTATTGGGTTGCCTCATCCCATTTACATATTAACCGTTTGACGAAGTGGCGCGGGTAGCCATTCGCTCTGAGCATCCGTCGATAGTGTCATAAAACATCAACCTTGTCCTCCGTTCACTGCAATGCGTTTGTCGCGTATTGGGTTGTTGTTGTTGTTGTTGTTGTTGAAGTTAACGGCTTTTGTCGTATTTGTGGTTTTCCTGAACACTTTAGACTTTTCAAAAGAAGAAGGGATTTGTCTGAGGTCCGACGTTTCGAGTAGTTTATTCGTCTACCCATCTTCGGAGTCTGGAAGTCCTGTGCACAGCTCCTCTAATGATGGCGCCCTTTGTTCAATGCGTGATCCGCCAATGCCGCCTGTGTGGCTGCATCCAACCCGCATGTTACGGTGACCTGAATCGCCCCCGTCGGCCGCGGAGATGACTGACGGCCCCGATTGTCCCGCGCCGTGACTGTCCCCCGCTAAGAAGGTTGGTAAAGTCAGATAGGGGAGAGGGAAATGGATGTGGCGGTTGACAGAGCGGTCGGTGGACATCTAGGCTTCTTGCACTTGCCTTGCTGTGTGATCGCCGTCCCGGCCCACAATCTCAACGGCGTCAAAGTTGAAGATGCGTCCCATTTGCGCGGCATGGGTTGCTACCGCCGACTTTGGGTCCAACCTTCCCACGGCCAGCTTATGCTCGTGCATTCGCGTTTTCAGCCGTCGGCCGGTTTCCCCAACGTAGTTGCACCCTCCGCAGCTGCATGGAAGTCGGTAGACAACGGCCGACATATCCTACTTAGGGATCGGATCTTTTGGCCGCATCACTTGCCGGCGGATTGTTGAGTCAGGCCTGTGGGCAACACCTATTCCGAGTGGCACGAGTGATCGAGCCACGGCTTCGGAGCCCTCTTTAATGTACGGAATGCTCCGCCACGAGTTTGACTGACTATACTCTTCGTCCCGTTTCTTTGGCTGCCTCCGGCTCCGTGCACTGAATGCTCGCGGATAGTCATTGGCTCTGAAGAGTTCTCGAAGAGCTTTATCTCGTCCAGTTTGGCGGCTGGCGTGCTGCAATGAGTTTCCACCCGTCGGGCACAGCTTCGTTTGTGTTGTAGCGGGTGGTTGCTGTTGCATCTGGGCATTTGCAGCGTGTTCGTCGGTTTTCTGTAGCCCGGCGTCGCTAGTTCGCCATTTGGTTGGCGGAAGACGAGAACATCCAAGAATGGAAGTTTGTCCCCTAATTCCTCTTCCATCGTGAACTGTAGATCGGGAATGATTGAGTTCAGTACTTTCGCAAGGTAGTTGACTTTATCCCGGTCGATGATAACAAAGGTGTCATCAAAGTAGCGTGCCCAAAACTTGGGTTTGTACTCCTCGAATAGTCGTCTCTCGAGTTCTTGTGGAACCGCTGCAGCACTGAGCCCGGAGATTAGTGAACCCATTGGAGTGCCCTTGATCTGCTCGTATGTGGTCCCTTCGAAGGTAAAGAATGTCTTGAGGCGGTGCCCCATGGGTTCTATGAGATCCTGAGCTGTGGGCTGGCCATCGCCCCCATCGTAATTTTGACGTAGCAGGTCACTGAGCGTTTCGACCGCAAGGGCATGTGGTATGGACGTGAAGAGTGAGACGACGTCAAAAGACACCATCCTTTTATTCGGTTCGATCGTGGCTGCCCTTATTTTGTTAAGGAATTGTTCTGCTTAGTGCACCGTTGTTTTTGAGCCTGCAGTTAGGTATCTTAGCTTCTGAAATAGCCTTTAAGTTACCACAATCTGCACGACGGGCTAGGACAACAAGCAAGGTTAGAAGGTTGTTGTCTTCTTCTTCCACGGCATTTAGGAGTTCTTTGAATTCTACCACTTGATCCTGTTCAATGACGACAAAGGTATCGTCTACATACCAAGATCAGAATTTCGGTCTGTAGTTTCGGAAGACCAACAACCTCAACCGTTGTCGGACCACCACATCCGTGACTCCCGAAATTGGCGAGGCTATTTGTGTGCCTCTCACCTGCTTGAAGATCGTCCCGTCGAACGTGAAGTTGACGACTTCAGGAGTTGGAGGATTTGGGCGTGTTTTCGGCGATTCTCAGTTTCCTCGAGTTCGTTTTTAAAGAGTCATTCGATGATCTCGACAGCGGAGAATACGTTTCGGCAATTAGCGACAAGGGTGATTTCTAAAGAGCCATCATAACATCGATTACGACTCCGAGCGACGAACGTCGGATTTGCCGATTATATTAGGCATAAGGCGATTTGACAACTGCTGCCTATAAATACTGCACTCTTTGTGCCTTCATAACCCTTATCTGTGTCTCTTTCTGATGATGGGTTCGAGTGGAGATACGAAACGTCAGGCAAGTAAACCCCTTGCTTCAGCAATCGCACCTTCTTCTTCCGGTCTGCCTTCTGGAACATGTCTCTTTGCCTCTATCGACTTATGTAACAATTTTTGCCGGAAAGAAGCTTATTTGAAAGACTATATTCTGAGTTGGCTGAAATATCTCGTGGTTAAGTTGCACGATGGTCAATATTACAACACTGCCTTAGTAAGCCTCGTTAATCAAAAACAGATTTCAGAATTTCGATAAGCATTTTAGTAGGCAAGCCGGATACCATAGCCACCCCATAACAGTTCGAGCGTCGGTTCCAATGATATCCGCCTTGTGCTCCGTAGCGGGATGAGAGTAGGGGCGCTTAGTGAATTAGTTTACAATGCTAGCAGACTTGCGCAGTGTCTCTCTTCTCCTCCCCTACCTGGACCCTGCCTCATGAGCAAATCAAGAAGACCGCAGGTGGCTAGCACGGCGAAAGTTCGTACCCAGGCGTGTCACAACATGCGCCGCTGACCAGGACTTCACACTCTAGGCAATTGGGGGTCGGCACGGATCTCAAGTGACGCTACGTTAGACGGCGGCTGGGTGCGCCACCACACGCCACTGTTGGTATTTGTTATGGGTTCGCATTCCCGATAACACTTTTATGGTCTCCGATCTAGCCCCCGTGTCGGTCCAGAACGTCTACCGCTTGGCTCGTGTTGGGGAGACGCATGATCATCATAAGGGCAGTTACTATGCACGACTTCGTGAAGTACTCTTTTTCAATCCGTCAAGAGTCGTCGACACTTTTGACGGAGGTCGAAATTCGTACAGAGTGGAGTTGACTCACAGACCCGCAGCGTCCTCAGCCAGTTTGACATTGACATCCGATGCCAAACCTGTGAGTAACTTTTGATTTAATTAACCACAGTAGGTTACTTGCGGCAAATACCAGACTACTGCACCCCAAAGGACGTCAGCAGTCCTTCATCGGAGGGTTGTCACACCATCTGACCGCATTATTTTGTGCAGGTTCAGTTCTGGATTGTCGCCGCACCCCTGGATTGGAGATGAGTGAAAAAAGACGGCTGAGACAACATACTCTCGAGTGTGGGACTGCTCTTGTGCCTCAAGGCGTTCCTGAAAAACCTTCAGAACCGTATCTAGACAATTATTGATGCCGTGAAGCCGTAAGTCGCCACGTTTCCGCCTGTTGCCCTGTCCGAGACTCCGCTGACGTGCCCATACCGACCAATACCAAGTCGGTCCGCGGATGATGCCCGGCTTGCGGAAGATAAGAGGGGGGGCCCGGTTTCGGTGAATCGCATCGTCAAATAACACGTTTAGTACGAGCCAGCTGAGTCGATTTCCAACAGAACAGGACAAGCCTCTGACGTCGGTGAAATTCGATACAAGTTGATTCTGAGGTCAGTGACATCATCAGTATGGTGACTGACCTCTCTGTAACGTTACATGGCTAAGTGGGATGATTATGAGGTTGTGAAGGACACTTTGCAAAGCCATTAGACTTACTAGCTCTGAATTTGCATAAGGACAGCTGTATACCAGCTTCCCATTCAAAGACAGTCGGCCGGTGCAAAGGAGAGGAATGAGGGCGTTAGGGGATATTCACCTGAGTAGCTGGCGCATTCCCCACTTAAATTAATCTGCCACGCTTGAATCTATTGCAAAGCGCTAAGGGTTCTTCTCGGGACAAAGAGTCAGGTCGTAACACCACCTTCTTAACGTTTCCCGCATGCTAATATCATGCACCTAAGATTGGAGCAATCGCTACGGTGCCTGGCACGGGGCAGGCCGTGTGTGCTACGCGTAGACGGGCTGGCTGGTTTTGTCAGACACTTTACGCGTAGGTCGCCTACCTCGTGGGGCGTGCAGGGGAAATGTATCTCGGAGCTTTCGAACAACAATACCAGCTAATTACGCTATGTCCCTCAAAAAAAGCAACTGTGTCCCATCAACCCCCGTCCGAAATTCGAACAGTGAGTCAGTGCTCTCAAAAGGACCGCTTCTCAGGCGAGGAAGAACTATTAGCTGAAGTATGCCAAATCTGGGGACTGAAGTCTTTGTAGAAAATGTAAGCTGTCACACAGGACTAGTACAATACCGTTTAATTTCCTTTCTCTGGAATGGAGGATACGTTTTTTGGGCCTGCGAAATCTACTCTCAGTCACATTGTCGTCGCCTGCTGTTTATTCAGCATAAACTCTAATGCAGGAAAAATAAAACAAGCGATCGACAGTTTCGTACAACATCAACTTACCCCAGCACTTGGATCGGGAGATGCGCGTTGTCGCCTTTGTTCTGCACTCCAGGAGATAACCTACCAGGTACAATGCGGGCTGAAGATATTTCATCGGTCCCGAAAAGGCCTCTGTCTCCGCTGAGAGACTCAGTATAACTCTCAGTACACGATAGTACTGTTAAAGCCACTCTGCTGTACGTATACGAAATTTCTCTTTAACTGCCGCCGATCTGGGAAGAAAATCTGTTGTCCACCGGCCATGTTCCGAACTCGGAATCCCACCGTCGATCGGCATATTGCCTTTTGGTGGCAACGTAAATCACCAGAAAGGAGACGCCTTCGGTGGAACAAGAGTTTTACCCATTTGACATTTCGGATTCGCATTCGTCAGGCGAACAACACTCACGTCCCAGACATCGGATGCACAGAGGACGGAATGGCAATAGGGCCAAGAGATCCACTTTTTCCAACATGGCTGATTTGCTCAGAATTGCACCGCGTCCAGTAGACGACTGCAGACGTTTTCGGCCGTGGCAGTGGAAGACTACTGCAGACACGGGTGATCGAGCATGCGGCAGAAGTGAAGAGAAATGACGCCATCTCCTAAATTGCGGGTTTTTCGGAGGGACCCCGCCACACCTACAAGTGTGACGTGGCCAAAATCCTCGTAGGCGGTGACAATCGCGTGAGTCGCGAACTGCATGAGTCATGGTTTACTGACCCACAGTCGACTGATAAGAAGAGTGACTTTCCGCCATCATATGAAGCACATAGACTACTCCTAGGTACATTTAACAGTCGTGCGGGAAACGCAGGCGTGGGCGTTGCCTCCAGAGGGAAGTTTGGTGGTCCAACTGGCGAGCTCTTACAGCACCAATAAACAAAACTGGGGATGACATTGTGGAAGGTAACGATTCGGCCGTGGTTGATCCATGAAGTATCGCACCAATGCGCAGACATCTGTGATGAGGGGAGTGTCATTTCTGATAAGTATGTGGTCGCATAGCAATGGCTTGCTGCAAGTAATGCGACACTTGTGCAAGTATTACTCTTATTTGATGCTATCTCTGACGATGGAGTCGGATGAGAATCCGAGACGTCAGACGAACAAAATCCTCCTATCAGCGACCGTGCCCTCTTCTTCTCAACTGCTTCCTATACATCGCATTCTCTCTTGTATCAACAAAAAGTCATCGCTAGAAGGGCGCTCACCGATCGCGTCATGGAGCTCAATCGTCCCGTTGCGTCCTATGGGCTCTCTCTCATGTCCAACCAGCCGCCGCACAGCGGCGCGTAGTATAGGCAGGATGGCATCACTGACAAATATCAGAGAGACTGGAATGACGATTTCTGGCTCATTAGCCGTTCTCAGTTAGTCATACCCAACCCCGAAATGTGGAACACTCGGGGCATGATCCTGCGACCTGTTGGTTATAAGTCCAACGCCCTAACCACTGGGCCATGGGCTCGATGTCCCATCGGTTTCGATCGTCTGGGATGGTTTTGTGAGTTGATATGTGGTGTCACTTTTCGGAAGCCTTGTTGGAGTAGGCATCGCCACCGTCGCCTACATAAATATCTGTATGTCGTGCACCGCAAGGCGGGAACTCATTTTGTCCCGGTAACCCAGAGGCTAACCATGCAGGCGTTAACTCAGAAAGGTGACAGTGGAGCCATCGAAAACCAAATCTGATACAGTAAGTTGACTGCCGAAGCAGGATTTCCTAACTAATTCCCCCAAGAATCCGCCAGATGATTACTAGGCTCACGTAATTCATTGATATTTTAGCAGATTTTTAATGTTTCATATTGGCCCAACTGTGAAAAACTCGGCTTCGCGGTGGGATTCGAACACATCTAAATTACGTTGTGGCAGGAGCAGCTTCCGCAGGCCCTGCTTGCGCCACCACCAGATCCGCATTCGACCTTGACATATGGTCCTGC